AGAGGGCGGGAGGAATGACAGAGGGGGCGGGGACAGAGGGCGGGAGGAATGACAGAGGGGGCGGGGACAGAGGGCGGGAGGAACGACAGAGGGGGCGGGGACAGAGGGCGGGAGGAACGACAGAGGGAGCAGGGACAGAGGGCGGGAGGCGGGGTGGCACCTGGAGCCACTCGGTGACTTTGAGGCAGTGGGTGTAAGCCTCCGCCCACAGCGCTCAAGTAGGAAAGAAGTGTTTCTTTTCAGTAATCCAACCTCACTTGAATTCTGACCTCATTTTTCCCGGGTAGAAACTGTCATTTCAGGGACTCTCGGCGTCGGCCCGTCCCCGCAGAGCGCCAAGGACCGCTGAGCTTACCTGCTACCTGGACATCCGCCCACGCAGCACCCTGGTTTTAGTCGTCCCCTGAGGGCTTTGTGATAGACAGCCCGGGTCACCTCGCAGGAACACTCCCGGGATGTCACACTGCCATAGGCCACGGCACACGGGCGGTCCAGGACTCTCAGGCTGACCCCCACAGACAGGCCACCAACCTGCCAGCACGACTGTCCTCTGGAGGTGACACGGCTAGGGGAGGGGCGTTCCCCGTTACAGCTAGGTTTAGGGACAGATGAATAGCATTGATCCAAGAGCTTCGCAAGTCCTCCACGGCACCTCAGGGCAGGGTCTTCACTGCATCTGGCTGCCAGCAGGCAGAGGCCACCGAGGTCACATGAGCTCCCAGTCCAAAGGCTCCTTTCCACAGCCCTTCTCCTCTGAAGTCCAAGCTACTGTAGATGTTAAGAGCACACAGGGGCGGGGCAGCAGGCGGCATGGGGGGTAAGGTGCTGGGTTCCCACACGGCCGACCACGGTTTGAGTCCCAGACCCAGCAGCTTGAACCTCACGTTGGGCGCTTGTACGTGCATGCCCAAACACAGAGAGGAGAATGGAGACGGGACTGCAGTGTGGCCCTCTCCCAGAACGGGGGTGGGGTGATTTTTTTGCTTTCTTTGTTTCTCCAGTAAATATACATACCCTGTACCAAAAATCTCTCCAAAAAAAAAAAAAAAAAGATAATAAAAATAATTATTTATAGGAACCAGCAATTAGCATAATGGCTATGTCGCTGGACCCCCATGTAGTTGACTGCAGTTTGAGTCTCGGATACACAGGTGTGGGCCAGATGGTATGGCAGTTAAGGCACTGGATCCCACATGGCCAGCTTCATGGTTCAATTCCTGGACCCAGTAGCCTGAGAACCACAGAGCACAGAGAGTTTTATGTGTGGGTACACAAAATCCCAAGTGGAGAATGGAGGAGGGACTGCAGTGTAGCTGATCTCTTACTTTCCCCCTCTCTGTCTCTTAACATGTGCATGTACCCTATAGCAAAAAAACAACAAACACAGTACATGGGTCTCCTACCCAGTCAGCCTGCTCCCCAGCCTTGCAGGGGCCAGACCACAGCCCCTGCAGCTGGCCCTGGCCGCACGCAGAGAGCTGCAGAGTGGCCACACCAGCCGGGGTCGGCATGCCCACCGTAAGTGGCCCACACGCTGAGCTCCTATACAAAGCCCCGTGCTTCAATTCAAAGTCACAGGGGATAAGCCTGGGTGACCCTGACAACGGGGCGCTTCTCCAGTACTAACATCTCTTTAAATAATGTGTTTCTGATAATAAAGATGACAGAAGAGACAATGAAGATGAGACGAAATTACCGACACTCCCATCGCCAGGCTGTACTACGATGTGGGTTTATTTTATGCCCGCCTTCTTTCTTGACGTATAAATGTGCATGCAATATGGGTGGTCCTTACCGCGTCCCGTTCCATTCATGGCTCACCTGTCACACTGACGATTTCTCCATAGATAAAAACTAGCGCTCACTTATATGCTCAATTCCCACTTCACGATGGCCGATCATAGTTTATATAACCAGTGTGTGAATAGTAAACACTGGGACGTTTCTAAGTACAAGTGTGCTGAGTGGTCTTTTACACTAACGCCTGACCACACAGTATCTATTTTTAGCATTCATGTCCTAAATGGGCTCACTGGGACAAATACTCTTAAGATCCCAAATACAAGCACTGCTGCTAGAACTACGTTACGGAAACTGCAGAGTCCCCACTTCACCTCACCGGCACCCATCCTGAGAATAATCGTAAGTGCTTTGCCAAGTGGCTAGGCAAAAATAAGGCTTTCTGGTTAACTCTCACACTCGCGTTAATTTGCACTCGCTTTCACTAGCCACGTTTGCTTTCCCTGTGCAGTGTGTGCCCACGCCTTCACCCATGTTCCTACGGCACACCAGGGCTGCACTTAGTTACGAGAACTCTTTATATATTAAGGCGAAGGCGAGGCTGACACGGACCAAGGCTGCTACCCCAACACACGCTGCCGCTATTAGTCAGAGTTGGCGTGGCTTCTCCCTGGGCTCTGTAAGCTCTTTCCAGGAAGAACAAAAACCCAAAAGACCCTGCTCATAAGCACAGGACATGCCCTACTGAACACTGCAGACACTGAGGTACTAGGTGGCCACGTGGTCAAAAGATGGAACGTAACACAGAGCCCACGTGCCACTCACTGGGTGTGTCTACGTTAGAGAGCTCAGAGCTTCCTTCGAAGAACATGTTTCCTAAAAAGAATGGATTTATGTAGAATACTGATGTGGAATTCTGTGGTTGGGCAGGTACAATATTTCACAAGACCCCTCCTTTGGAACCAGAGATGGCATAGCGGTTACCTTGCTGGACTCCCTCCCACATGGCCAACCAAGGTTCAGGTCCCAGACCCAGTGGCTTGAAAATCACGCCATGTGCGTGTGTGTGCATGCCCATGATGCCAGAAGGACAATGGAGGAGGAGGGACTGTGGCGTGGCCATCCCCCGGGGTTGATTTCTCACTTTCTCGCTCACTGCGCCTGTTTCTCTCTCTCTCGGGAGTGCATGCGCCTTAAGACAAAAACCTCTTAAAAAAACAACAACAACAACAACAAAAAAAAACCCTCCTTTTCTCTCATCTGTACAGGATATTTCAGAGTGGGGTACCAAAAATTTTTCTGTTTTTAATCAATTTCTTTACTATGAAATGTTATTTAGAAATGCTTTTTATTTTTCTTTGCACCATTTTAACATTATAGTAATCTTGCTGTAGAAACTAAGATTCTATCTTGCAGGAAAGAGAAGACGAGACCACCTACTGGTGTCCTTATTCACATATTAGAGCGGGTCAGCCAGTGGAAATCCTGGAAAGGAAAAGACAGCACACATTCGGCCACAGAAATGGGCTGCTCGGGCCTCACCCTCACTGCTCCACCTCCTCCAACAGCTGCACGACTCTCGCAATGAGTTCCACTCCAGTCAAGTGCTTTTCCCAAAATGAAGCTCCAAGCCATCAGGGCGCCTTGCTGACGTGTCCTACAACGACCTACAATGTCCTGTGGCTGCTCTTCCACAATTCTTAGGGCACAAAACCTAGACTCTGAAAGTACCAGACGTCCTCTGGAAACGAGGAGGTGAAGGAGGCCTGAGGGCCAGGCCTACACGTGAGATACCGCCCTTCCGTCCGGACACGGGCTACCGTGGAGATGAAGCGGGAGGCAGCTGGCCCCTACTGGGAATTGATGAAAAACGGCAGAGGGACAGATCGTCAACGGAGTCAACAACCGGAAACCGTAACATGTACAACTCCACTGGAATGAGGACGGATAGTGCTGAAGTGGTGAATTCAAGAAGTAAGGATGATCATCAGAGAATCAGAAAGAGGATTCGGGGTCAACTTCATGGTGCAGTGGTTAAGCACTGTGCCTAGGGGGCCGGGACCCACATGGCCAACCAGAGTTCAAATCCCAGCCCTGGAGGCTTGAAAAGCACACCAGGTACATGTGTGTGCATACCCCAAATCCCCATGGCATGGAGAAATGGAGGAGAAGGGATGCTGACATGGCCGTGGGAGTGCTCCACAGGAGGGCTTTCTCAAATACACATGCCTTCCAGCAATTGAGAACAAGAGAAGAGAGTAAGAACTTACTTTTTCCCTGTAATATCCAAACAAAAGTCAGAAAGAAGTGTGGGCAGACCCCTGGAAGAGCACTAGGGGGGCCACGTGCGGAGGGCACGACACGTTGGAGCTCTTCTGTGGCCAGAGCAGTCGCGGGATTTTTTTTTTTTCCCGTTTATTTCTTCCTTCCATGGAAGATGGAAATAGGAGAGAAACAGGGCCAGCCCCTCAGCGGGGTTCCACGCAGCGACCCACCCATTGTAGCCAGCAGGTCACAGCACACCTGTGGACCCAGCGTGCTCTGGGTGTCCTCTGGACAGCTCCAAGGCCTTCCCCATGTGGGTGCAGCCTCACTATGGCTGTGGCACCGTCCGGCCCTCCAGATCACTCTGAGTATTGCCCTCGTTAGGCCCTGTAGCGACGCTAGCCTCCAAGCGCTCAGACGCGGTGCCAGCCCTGCCCTCCAGCCCCTGGAAGGTATGCGTGCAGTCAGAAAAGAGCAAAGCGGCAGGGGGTCAGCAGCCTACTTGGTGTCTGGTTGGCAGAAACCATTTCAGTAAATGAGACTTTAAGAAAGAGAGATCAGCGAGGCCCAGAGACGGTTCTGGAAGTTGCTAACCTGACCTGGAGGTCTGCTCTTGCTCCACGAAACCTCATGCACCTGCCCGCCATCTTTTTTCTTTTTCTCTTGAGAGGTTTTTGCTATAGGGTATGTGCGCTTGCCAGAGTCATAGAGAGAGACAGAGAGACAGAAAGTGAGAAATCACCCCCCCGGGGGTGGCCACACCGCAGTCCCTTCTCCATTCTCCTCTTGGAATCCTGGGCACGCACATGCATTGGTGTGAATCTGAGCTGCCAGGTCTAGGACTCAAACCGTGGTCGACTCCATGGGAGTCCAGCAACATAGCCATTACACCAACTGCTGGTCCCCCCACCACCATCTTACTGGCCTAGTCTCCTGTGGACATCCTCCACTTCCATCACGAGGTTTGAGTATTTCTTCTCTCCGCTATGAGGTAAATGCCTAAATCTCCATTTTTACACAAACAGCTTCAGTAGAATTCTACATATTTTAGTCTCCAACTCCGATTTATATGTCACTGTCTGTCCAAGTTCTGTCTGTCCATGTGTTCCCTGCCTTGTTAAAAGAGAAGGGTCCCATAGTGGACTCCTGTCTGGAAAATGCGGCTGTTGGGCAAGGCGTAACTGTGGGGACGGGGTGGACGAGGAGGGAAGTTCTGCAGAACCAGGACTGGAGTGCGGAACTAAACATGCAAAGCAATGCTGTCTGGAGCCCGGGAGGAGGATGCCGCGCGGCCACTCCCTTCCCCGCGATGAGCGACACTGCCATCATGCTTCAGGGTCAGAGCAGCTCACTTTGATGTCACTGCGCAATCCACCCCACAGTCATGCCACCTCCCGCTGTCCTCTGCTCTCGGCCTCCCAGCTGCCCTGGTCTCCTTGCAGGTCCTCAGCCTCGCCACGGGACCTTGCGTGTCCCTCCCTCCCCTCCACCAAGTGAGTCCCTGCTCCTGGGGTGTCAGTTAAAGCATCGCTCCCTGTTTCACACCTCTCCTGCGCACCCTTAGCCCTGGGACCCTTCCCTTCCACGTTGCCTGGCCGCGGTGAGGCGCTGGGCTGTGCTCCCCAGACTGCAGGAGCTGAGCCGGGCCGACCAAGCCTGCGAGCTCCCCATGCTGCTCTCGGCACTAACACGGCCCCAACGGTGCCTGGACACATGTTCCCTGCTCAGACTTGCAGAGGCTCAGGGAGACCTCTGTGAATGAGGGCACTTGGCCGCGGGGTACGTCTTGGCCGTGGGGACAGATGCGTGTCTGTTTTCTGCTCGGTAACCGCATTTACCTGGGCCTTGCGCATGGCCTGCGGCTCGATCATGATGTTGAGGAGAGAGGGTCTGCTGGTATCTGCCAGGGCCTGCCGCAGCGATTTTTGGAGTTCCTCTGGTGTCTGCACGAAGTAACCCTCGCCTCCAAACGCAGTCATGACCCGCTCGTAACGTGAGTTTGGCAGAAGACACATTGGAGGGATCCTGCAAGCCAAGGTCACAAGTCAGCAGGATTTGTCTTTAGGGAAAAGCGCTGTTCTCAATCTGTGAAGAAAACTGAAGCGGCACTGTCGTACTGCCAACACGTCAGCTGAGACGCCAGCACACTGACATCTCCTTACACTGCGACCAGCAGGGGGCATGATGGCCACGTCGCTGCACTCCCATGTCGGCGTCGACCGCGGCTCGTGGTGCGTGTCATGTGTGCCCAAGGGTCACAGGAAAACTGAGGAGAGGGGATTGTGGCACGACCATCCCACCTTGGGGAGGGGACTTCTCACTTTCTGTGTCTCTGCCTCTCCAGTGAGTGCACGCATCTCATAGCAAAAAATCCCTTAAAAAAACTTCCCTGTTAGCCCTTCATATTCAGGGCTTCCATATCTGTGGATTTAACCAAAATATGAAAACAAACGAGAAGCTGGTGCCGTCTGCAGTGAACGTGTACGGGTTCGTCCTCACCCTGAACGACACAGTGTAACTGTCTACATGGCATTCACATCACACTAGGGGTGTACTTGGAGACGGCTTTAAACACAATGTTTTTAGAGAGGGTTTTGCTCTAGGGCATGTGCGCTCACTGGAGACAGAGAGAGAAAGTGAGAAATCACCCTCTGGGGGTGGCCATGCCGCAATCCCTTCTCTATCCTCCTCCTGGGACTCTGGAAGCTGGTGCCGTCTGCAGTGAACGTGTACGGGTTCGTCCTCACCCTGAACGACACAGTGTAACTGTCTACATGGCATTCACATCACACTAGGGGTGTACTTGGAGACGGCTTTAAACACAATGTTTTTAGAGAGGGTTTTGCTCTAGGGCATGTGCGCTCACTGGAGACAGAGAGAGAAAGTGAGAAATCACCCTCTGGGGGTGGCCATGCCGCAACCCCTTCTCTATCCTCCTCCTGGGACTCTGGGCACACACACACGCACACCCAGCATGAGTTTCAAGCCACCAGGTTGGAGACTTGAACTGTGGGCAGCCACGGGGGAGTCCAGCACCTTGACTGCTATGCCACATGCTGGTCCCTCTAGAGAGGATTCTAAAGCAAACGGGAGGGTGTACATAGGTCACATACACACAGGAGGCCACTTTATGTATGGGAAATAGGCACCCTGAGGTTTCGGTATCCACGGGGAACCTAGGAGACCACCCCTGGGTGCTAAAAGGACAACGGCATCCATCACTGCCGTCCACGGTATCAGCAGAGCTGCGACGACAGAGACACTTCACACCCACGCTCCCCCAGACAGGGCCGCTCCGTCTATGGGCACTCGAAATGTGAGTAAACCGAGGAATCAACTGTTCACTTTAACTTCACTTCAGCTAACGTAAAGGGAAGTAGCGGCACCTGACTAGAAGCGACTGCAGACAGAGACGCTACTACTGACCACTGTGAGCCAGGAGAGGGCAGAATGAACGGTTACTACAAAACAGCGAGTAGCAACACGTTACCAAGGCAGTCGGAGAAGTGAAATCGAACCATGCCCTACCCGCCCCAGGCTGGCTCAGAGTCCTGCAGCAGACGACACTGTCTGAGTTTGGCTCTGCCATCAGGTGAGGGGATTCAGCTATGTGGTAAAGGAAGAAGACGCTGGAGCATGAACATACTCAACTACTTGTGTCTCTAGCAGGGTGGGAGTGCAGTGCAGCGAGCCTTCTCGCCGAGAATCAGACGTCACGTCCACTCATCAGCGCCAGAAAGAGCCTACCATTGTGCCCAGCAGGACAGGCCTCCTTCCTTCAGAGAGGCCGACCACCTGAGCGGTAGCTCCTCCACGGATGGCGTCCCGGGGCACAGACTTGTTCGAGAGACCGAGGCCGATGAGACGGAGCATGCACGGCTCCTGGGCACTTACACTGAGGCAGCATCTCCATGTTTCTGCAGTTCTTTCCAACTCTCCGCATCGAAACCTTGGTAGATTCCATTATTGTTCACCACCAGGATGACGATCGGCAAGTTGTACCTCAAAGGGAGAGCAAACACGAAGGGAGTCATTCTTTGTTGGAAAGCAACTTCTTTTCTTTGGGGCTGAAATTTTAACTTGCAAATGAAGTTTTCTATAAGCTTGTTGTGCTATCAGCAGAAGATGTAAAGTGAAGCATTTATTACCCTAATGAAGAACATCAGTCACTTGTAGAAACATGGCTGCGAGGCCGAGAGAAGGCACGACCTGGTAACCTGAACTGTTCCCAGCACCACTCGGCCACGGGCCTCAGTCCCACCTCCTGCTGGCCTGCATCGGCTCTCACGGACCCAGGTGGCGGGAAGGGTCTGTCTCGGTCACCTGCCGCCTCTGCCGCCTCTCCTAGGTGGACTCGGAGCAGCGTTTGAGAACTAGTTTCCTGAGCCCCTCATGGACAGAGGCCCTTGCCAGACGCGGTGGGAGACACACAGGTGGGTGACGAGGACACACATCCATCCTCGAGCCACCGCACTCACGACTGGGACACAGGACGTGGTGGACCCCGCAGAGAAGGAGTATCCAAAATGTGCCAAGTTGTATAAGAAAGAGGAAGCAAATTTTAAAAAGCTGACTAAGCTTTACTAATAACTGGGAAAGAACATGGGTTTTATTTTCTGCAGACATAATTTAAGGGCAGGTGGTGAGGCAGAACTAAATTGAACTGTAGTTCCAGGGCCCCAGAACATGATTTGCAGCAGCCCTGAGAAGGGGCCTGGCTCAGACTGGGACTGCTCTCCGACGGTTAATACACTCAGATGACAGCTGCACACCCTCCAGCAGAGGGCCCACAGCAGGTGAGTCCCTCCGTGAGTCCTTACAACTATGCTCTTCCTTGGAGGGCTCTCACGGCTGAGGCCCAGCCACCTCGGATTTACCCAGACTGACGCAGCACAGCATGCGGGCACCTGACCCAGGGCATGGGGCGGCACCCTCGGGGCACACGCAGCTCGCGGGAACCTGCCCAGGGCGTGGGTCGGCACCCTCGGGGCACACGCAGCTCACGGGCACCTGCCCAGGGCATGTGCTCGATCGGTCATGTGGGTGTGCGCGTCTTTTGTGTAGTGTCCATATGTTGGAGAATGCAGTGTTCTGACCCGGGAGGCTGTCTTACCTACAGATGGTCTCAACCTCCATGCCGGAAAACCCAAACGCGCTGTCCCCTTCCACACAGATGACCCGCTGCTCGGGGTTTCTATCTTTAGCCACCAGAGCAGCTGCGATGGCGAATCCCAGGCCGACTCCCATTGTTCCAAAAGTCCCAGCATCGAGCCTGTCAGGGGCAAAGCTAAAATAAAACTCCAGCGCGTCCGAGGGGCTGGCTCCGCCTTCCGGTCAGCCACACAGTTAATGCAAAAATCGAAACATAGAAAGACTTTTAATATAAAAATTCTAAACTGCAAGAAATGAATTTGTCTAGAATAAGGAGAATAAGAGAACAAAGGCACTCATAATTGTTTGGAAGTTTGTAAGTATGTCCTTGGAACACCGAGGACTCAAATGATCGCGTGGTATTAAGACACAGCAAACATAAAAGCTCTCCGAGCCGTCACTGAAGAATACATCTAAGCACGTCCCACACGCGCGGTTCTCCTGAAACTGCACTGCCGCGGCCCCATCTGGAGTGCACTCAGGCCAACGCGATCTTCCCGGAGCCTCACCTGTGCCGGGGAAGGCAGTTCTGGAGCACGGTGCGCCCGATGTCCATGGTGTTGGCCCCCTCGCTCACCACGAGACAGTCTCTGGGGAGCTGCTCTTGCACGTGGTAGAACACTGTGTAGTAATTCATAGGCAGGGACTTCCGGGAAGCCAACTCCTGAAACAGTACCGGCGAGCGTGGTCAGACTGGGCTGGGGACAGTGGGTAATCAATGTCGCCACGTTATAACAAGCCTCTCTGGAAAGAGCTGGCTACAGTGTAGGGCTCCCAGCTACTGTAAAATGGCCAGGCCGAGAGGCTGGCTGGCTGTGAATAGTCTGGGAACATGCTGGGAAATGTGTCCCTACACCCCAGGCCACGTGCACAGACACACACAGTATTACAGACACGTCATACACATACTGGCACACTGCAGACCCTGAGATGTCCCATAGCAACGACAGGAGGCCACGGGGCTAGGGCTGGGCTGGACAGAACCAGACATCCCTATCTGAGCACTCTGAGGAACACGCTGCTTTAAGGAAGGGAACACAATGCTTTCATTGGCATTTGCCCGCACAGAGAGAGACAGAAAGGGGGAGGATGCCGCCCTCAGGGAAGCCTGGTCACACTGCTGTCCCGTCTACCCTGCCCGGTCAGGCACACACGCGTGTGCACACACCCAGTTTGCTTTTCAAGCTGCCAGGGCCAGGACTGGAATCAGGCCCTTAACCTCTAGGCTACGGGCTGGCCCTGAAAACGTGCAATTTTTACTCTAACGTATTTTCATGTGAAGTAAGGGCCTGTGCTTAAACACTCCAGGATTTTAGAAGACAACCAGGTACCCTGGCTCCTTCCCGCACACCAGAGAACCACGGAGCCGGCGGCACTCACTATTCCAAGGACGCCTGGAGCGGAGCGGAAGCGACGCGCTGTGCTAGCCGTGTGCCTTTCGGGGCTGAGAGCCGCCGGGTTTCAGCAGCACAGCCCGCTGCCCCCACATACGAGGTGCTTTTATGGGAGGACGGTGTGATTCAGGAACCGGAATCCGGACTTGCTCCCGAAAGGAGCAAAGTGTCACTGAGTTGCATCCCAGTGTCAGCTTGCCCAGCTTCGGTTCTGCTGCAGTGCTTAATTGGAACATGTGGGCTTTCCCCCAGACGACTCAGGTTAAGGAGCGGGTGAGTATCACTAGACCCTCACTCTGCTTCCGTACGAGTCTGCCAGCAAGGGACACCAGTTGGGCACGGAAACTGACAGGGAGGGCCTTGAACTGCCGTTGGCCACGTGGGAGTCCAGTGCATTAACCACTGTGCCACCTGCTGGTCAGAGGACCTACATCTTTAAGGCAAACACATGCCCAGCATGTCCTAGGGTTGACGGCTCCGAAAGATCCCCCGCGGGATTCTGTGCCCTCACACAGGACAACGAGCCCCAGCAGCCCACCCACTGTCGCGACTGCCTGCACAAGGGTGATCTCCTCCATTCGCAGCATTGCACGCCTCCGCCCTCCTGCCCGGTCCTACATGAGACGGCAGCTTCCTTCACGGTGAAGGCCGATGGCTACAGTACACAGGGAGTCTTCAGAAAGGTCGTGGGAATTAAGCACTGGGTAAAACTTTGCAGGGATTTCAAATTTTTGCACCAAAATAAACTTGTACTTTAATTTTTCCACAAACTTTTTTTTTAAAAGAATGCTTTTAATTTTATTTATTATTGTTATTATTGTTATTGTTGTATTTTAATTTTAATCAGAGAGAGACTGAGACGGAGAGAGAGAGAGCAAGCCATCAGGTACGGGACTCGAACCACATTTGGCCATGTGAGAGTCCAGTGCCTTAACTATCACATCACTTCCCAGCCCCCACAAACTATTTAAAAATGTGTATTTATTTAATGAGAAAGAGAAACAGAGAGAGAGAGAGAGATGAGAGACGGGCACTGCTAACAGGGGGTCTACGCTGTGACCCATCTCCTGTCTGAGCCGGCCCAGGGCACAGGCACGCAGGCCAGGCTGGCAGGCTCAGGTAGACCTTGGAACGTGGTCCAGGGTTGGCACCCTCACCTGGGTGGGACTGGGGTGGAGCCCCCAAGTGCATGCACTTCTTAACCAGCTAGTGTGCTAACTGCCACTGTCTGGTTGGCTCCTGTCTCACTGGTGTCTCACAGAGGGTCTGAGTTGTTCCCCAGCCCCTTTCCCATGAGCCTCCTGGTCTTTACCACCTGGTTCTCACGGCCAGGTGAGTTTCAGGGATGCCGACGCCACGCACGGCAGAGCTGCCACATCAGTCTGCAGCCCCCGAGCACTGGGAACCTGTGTCTGCCCCCCAAGTGCCCCAAGCCCGTGTCTGCCCCCTGAGCTCATGTCTCCCCCCAAGCCCATGTCTACCCTCCGAGCACCAGCAGCCGTGTCTGCCCCCGAGTCCATGTCTCTTCCCTGAGCCCGTGTCTGCCCCCGAGCCCATGTCTGCCCCCTGAGCCTGTGTCTCCCCCCGAGCCTGTGTCTGCCCCCTGAGCGCCCCGAGCTCGTGTCTCCCCCTGAGCCCGTGTCTAACCCCTGAGCCCTTGTCTGCCCCTGGAGCCCGTGTCTCCCCCCCGAGCCTGTGTCTGCCCCCTGAGCCCGTGTCTGCTCCCTGAGCCCGTGTCTGCCCCCAGAGCCTGTGTCTGCCCCCTGAGCCTGTGTCTGCCCCTCGAGCGCCCCGAGCCTGTTCTTTTTACCTGGGACGCCGCTTCATTACTCTTCATTTTTTCCCTCAGAAGGTTCCACCACTTGCTCTCTGTAGGATATTGCCATGGACTTTTATCAAATTGTTCTAAAAGCTAAAAAAACACAACTTTGTTCTTTTTTGAACATAAATCATCTGACCATAAAAACCTCTTCTTAAAGAAGTCAGTACTGCTATTCTGGTCCCACTTTCACGTCACTCACACTTTCCGTTTTTCTTCTAAGAAGCAAATAACTGATAAACTAGGTAACAGGAGAGAGTCCTGGGTCAGTGTGGACTTCAGCAAGAGGCTGGGGTTCCAGGTGGCACAGTGAATGCAGCCTCCTTCATACGGGACGGGCAGGCCTCGGAGGCCCTCCTCGGACTCTACATTAGAAGGAAACCCTCTTCCCCCAGAGCCCTGCAGGAGGATTAATGGGTGACAGGGATTGCGTCCTAATACTGTGTCAACAGGGCGAGACCCATGGGGATTCTCCAGTGTCGTCAGAAATCAGGGAGAGATGTGACTGTGTGATCCTGTCACAGCAAAATGTATGACCCACCTACCAGACACAGCGCCAACTACGGCCTTACCACCCAAATGTATGACCCACCTACCAGACACGGCGCCAACTACGGCCTTACCACCCAAATGTATGACCCACCTACCAGACACGGCGCCAACTACGGCCTTACCACCCAAATGCTGAGAGCTTTCCCACGTGTAAGCTGCCTCTGGGCAGGAGGCTCCACCCCCTCGGAGTTTCGGTAAGAATTCTCAGGTAGCTGGAAGCTTACCTTGTAAATCCCTGTCTGCCTACTAAGCCACTTCACAGTTTTAACTGCCTCCCCAAAATTCTGAATTTCTATAGACATGATCTATGTGTAAAAAGGTAGATTTACCAAGTTCCAAAATTATATTTACGAGTAGTTTTCCATCCTGTTTTGTTAAAATCAATATTAGCAGATCTGTTGCTGACCAGTCAAGACTGACACATTTTCAAGAATTATTCCCTGAGGACCAGCCCGCAGAAGCTGGAGCCCGAGCAAAGCCTCACCTGTTTGGTGATGGCATCTATGTCCCCGAGCAAGGTTACAGCAGGCCTAACGTTATTCCCCAGTTCTTCGGCACAGATATCAACCTGAAAAAGAGACAAGGCTGAAGAGCAAGTCACCTTTACTCTTCAAAGCCTCTGTTGTTGTTAAGGTCTATTTATCATCATTATCATTATTATTTTACATTGCTACAGGGCATGCACACTCACCAGAGAGAGACGGGGTTGGAGGACTGAGGGAGAGAGAGAGAAAGTGAGAAAGCAAGCCACCGGGGCTGGGACTTGAACCACAGTCGGCCACTGGAGTCCAGCACCTTAACGGCCACGCCACCAGCTGGCTCCCTCTTTAAATCTTTAAGAAGCCAGCTGAGGCTGAATAAGCAAACGGCGTGTCCCTGGCACGTGATGGAGACTGGACGTCAGGAGGCCCCAGTAGAAGCCCGTGAACTGTGTCACGGCTAGCTCTGGCAGCTCGTCTCCCTCAGTCTATGGGATTAGACCCACGAGGACGCGTCTATCTGACCAAGTCTAGTTTCGAATCTGCTCAATCATAAGGATCTACTAACTTCTACTAAATTACCCTCGGAACTCCCACCAGCATAGACGCCGCCACCCGGGTGGGTCTGAGACGATCAGGGGTCTTGCTTGTCCAGACCGCAGGAGCGCCCCCAGGTCCTGACCACGAAGGTTGGGACGACTCTGGAAACACGCTTTCTACCCAAGGAGCTGCCGTGCCGCTTGGAGACGCGTCCTGAGGACCTCTGCCAGCACGGGGCATGACCACGTCCCCGTGTGCTCCAAGGCCCATTTCCGGATGGCCACGGATGAGGGAACGTGGCTGCTGCCAGGGCGCAGAGCTCAGCCACCCAGGGGATCCGCCTCATGGCAACACCAGGCGGGCACTGAAGTGACGGCGTCTTTGAAGGACAACGCATGGTCTCGCTTATTTGCGGCCTTAGTTCCCAGTGGTCTCAGACGGGAAAGGGACCGCTAGTTGACTACTTAGGAAGGAAAAGGTAGGGGCCATGGGACCAGCAGATGGCATAACGGTTACATCGCTGGAGTCCCACATAGTCGACCATGGTTCAAGTCCTGGACCTGGGGGCTTAAAACTCACGCTGGGTGTGGAGAGGAGAACGGAAGAGAAGGGATTGTGGTGTCTGCCCCAGGGGGTGATTTCTTGCTTCCTATCTCTGTGTCTCTGGTGAGTGCATGCGCCCTACAGCAAAAATCTCTCTCACACACACAAAAAAATAGGGTCCAGCCAGTGGCTTGGTAGCTGGGGCAGCTGGATACCACATGGCTGACTGCATGGTTCGAGTCCTGGACCCATACGCAGTACATGTGTGTACACGCCCAAAATCCCAAGAGGGAAATGGAGGAGAGGGGACTGAGGTGTGGCCACCCACTTGCAGGACACTTTCCCACTTTCTGTCTCTATCCAGAAAACTCATGTGCCAGAAATAAATAAATAAAAGTAAAAAGTAGACTGGGAGGAAACAGCCTTTATAGCCGGGCTACCAAGCATCAGGTAGTGTGGGGCCGATGGTAGGAAAACCAGGTTTGCAGGCCACTGTGCAGGAGCACTTTCTACGCTAGGAGTCGATGCTCCGTTTAACGACTGAGGTTTAGAGTTTAGAGGGTGAAAGTGGGTTTTGGTATCTTACACACACACACACACACACACACACACACACACACACACACCAGAAAAACACTCTTAACTTTAACAGTGTTGAACGTCTGATTCAATCTACCATCCTACTTAATCCTCTTTTCTCTCTTTAAATATACTCAAACGGGGAAAAGAAGCCAATTACGTTTTTCAAACGATTTGAAGCTTGACTTTGAAAAGTCCTTTGGCTAGAAGTAGCACGTTTTCTGTCATGTTTGGAAAGGTGGCTTACGAGGTAACTGTAATTAGGTTACATGGCTTATTACATTCTACTTTTGAAAGAACAAAAAGGGTTCTTTACAAAAGCCAAGAAGAAGGTGGAGAGGATAGCGCTGAGAACAACCAACTGCAGAGAGCTCTGCCGTAAAGCCCCGCCCAAGCACCTGGATGAACTTCACATCTGGCTGGTATCTTGGAGGCAGTCCAAAATGTAAAATCCAGTTCAGTCTGGCACCGAGTAACACAACTACATCAGCAAACTGCAAAGCCCTATTAAAAGAAAAATCTGATATAACTCAAAAAGTGTATTTCTTATTTGAATTATACTGAAATTCATTTCTAAAATACCTAGAACAAATCTAAATAATTTGGAGCTTATATTAGACTTCAGAATTACCTTTTTAAAAATGAGTTATTTATTTAATTTTATTATTACTGTTCTTGTTTGTTTACTTGTTTGTTTTTAAGAGAGGTTTTTTGCTATAGGGCGCATGTGCTCACTGGAGAGAGAGCATGAGCGACAGAGACAGAAAGTGAGAAATTACCCCTCAGGGGGATGGCCACACTGCAATCCCCTTTCCTCCATTCTCTCGGGATCTTGAGCATGCACGCACATGCGCCTGGCCTGAGTTTCAAGCCACCGGGTCTGGGACTCGGACCACGGTGAGTCATGTGGGAATCCAGTGACATAGCCATTATGCCATCGGCTGGTCCCAGTACTGTGTCTCTTTCTCCCCTCTCTGTCTCTCTCACTCATGGAAGAAATAAATAAACAAACTTATAAAAATAAAAAGTAGTCTATTATTTCTTTCCTTATGCTTTTCTATGCAAAAATGCATCATGACTTTTCTGATAAGCCAATAAAAGAAGAATAAGTAGAAAAATAGACTACCATAAGCTGCAAGATATACACACCATTTCGTCCACTTGCTGGCTTCGTTTTAACTGCCAGAAAATGCATGTGCTCACCAAAGAATGAGAAAGCAGCCCACGACAGGTGTGGGCACGCACAGTCCCTCTTCCTCCAGCTGCCCACCCTGCCTGGATTCCGAGCATCCGCACACATGCCTGGCGTGTTTTTCAAATTACCCCAGCCAGGATTCAAACCACAGTCAGCCATGTGGGATCTGGTTCCCTTACCACTAAGCTGTTAAGGCTGGCCCTATTGATTATATTTTTATCATTAGTAAAGTGAATACAAGTCTACTATAACTTAGAAAAAGTATAAAGAAAAAGATAAAAACTATCCCATATTATCAATTTGTAAACAATTACTATTATTATTATTATTAATTATTATTATTGGAGAGGTTTTTATTATAGGGCACGTGTGCTTGCCAGAAAGACAGACAGACAGACAGAAAATGAGAAATCACCCTGCAGGGGGGATGGCCACGTGGCAATCCCCTCTCCATTCTCCTCTCAGGATCTTGGACACACATGCACACGCACCTGGCAGTGTTGCAAAGTCCAAACAGAAACAAGTGCGCTAAAATGACAGGTCTTTTTGAGCTTCTCCCTAGATTCATTAGTTACAAAGCACTTGAAACCTGCCTACCTGCCAGACCGCTGCCTGCACCAGCTGGTGGCCACGCACCTGCATCTGGCCACTAGTTACAAAGTACTTGAAATCTGCCAGACCGCTGTCTGCACCAGCTGGCGGCCACGCACCTGGATCTGGCCGCACTGACACAGTTCGGGTGGCTGTCAGGAACAACACCCTTGCCCATGGGAGTGGGCAGAAACGGTAACTGACACTGCTCCACCAGCTTCCTGATGCTCTCCTCCGCACGGGCGTACGCGGCACCTATGAGAGATACACACGAACTGGATGACGGCTCTGCGCTCAGCGCTGTGACCCTTAGCGTCGTTCGGGTGGGGCCGGCCATGGCTGACAGAGGAAGTGAGCTGGCTCCCACATGGCCACTGTGCAGTTCGAGCCTTGGACCTTGAAAACCACGCCAGGTACATGTGCACACAGGCCCAGCACCCCGAGTGGGAGAGATGGAGAAGGGGTTGCAACACCTCATTCCCAGTAGGGGTGCTCTCTCTCTCTCTCTCTCTGGTGAATGCATGCGCCTGCTGAAAATTAAAACCAAAAGAACAGTTCGTGTGAAATTTCTTTTGCTTCTTTTTAAATACTCTCCTCCTGCTTTACATGGGGTTAAACTCAAAACAAACTGTGGATTTTTTATCTTTGGTATTTTTAAATGTTTAAGAAAGCAATACTTTTACTTTCTCCCCCCAAAATGTTCTCCATCGTTTTGGAGAACGTCTGCCCAAGACCAAGGTCATGCCTGACGTCTCTAGCCGCTCCCCCTTACCTACCCTAGGCTGCGTCCCACCGCACCAGCACTGGCAG